TGGTAGTTATTTAGGCCCCTACATCATATAAGGGATGCATGTAGCGTGTGGAGCCATACACAAATATTTGCAAACCCAAAGCCGTTCTAAAACCATTGAGAAGCCCTAAATAAAGCTCAAAACCTTAAAGTCTTAGCACACCCAAACCCCTATGAAAGCCTCAAGCTCGAAAGCTATAATGTAGGGCCCTTAACAATTAGAATAGGGTTTTGCGGTATATTAAATACTACAGATATAATCAGGACCCCTTAAACCCTAATTAAGTTTGGGCAACCCGGGCTCAGGACAGTCCTTGCTCCTCAGCGGTGCAGTCGGAAGCCGCCGCCAAAGATTCCGAAATACATCCCAGTGGCCACCTGCACAGCTAGGGTTTAGGGTTAAGGGTTTAGGGGTTTAGGGTTTAGGGTTCTCCAATATGAGCTTATTCTTGCCAGTCAGAACTATTCATAATTTTCGAACTACCATCCTTAGTATTGTTGATATTGTCAAGACTCTTCTTCTTCTCCTCCTCCTCATCTCCGGTTCTTATTTTTAGTATCATTGCTCAGATAAGCCATAAAATCAACGTCACTGCGATCATTGCCATTGATGTAACCAGTATCGCTAAGCTAGCCATTCTTGCTATGGTCCGATTCCGAAGACCGCAGTTAACCCTAAACCCTCAACCCTAATATAAGGGCTTTGATAATTTGAATAGGGTTTTGGGGGACTCCTTATCATAACTATAGTACAATATATCCCCAAACCCTCTTCTAATTATTGAGGCCGCTATATGAAACATTAAACCCTGAACCCTCAACCCTACACCCGGGCCCTGACCTGCAGAGGGGCCGGCGTTGTCGTTGAAGTCGTGGTTGTCCGCGCGTAAGGGCAATGCCTTACTTGGAGGTTCATGGGTAGTTATAAGTGGGGTTATAAGTCCCCTAATATGGGTTATAACTATAGCTACCTTACTTATAACCCCCCTTATAACTACCCATGAACCTCCAAGTACATCTTCACTCTTCCAGGACCCTCCTTGTACCCTGAATTAGGGGTATATGGTCCCAAAGTAAGGGTTTTTTAGGCTCTAATAGAGGGTAGATGGAGGGTCTAGGTTTGCTGGGCCCTTGAGAAGGAACTTAGTTTGGTTGGAAACGTACTGCAAACTAGATACCCCCGTTGGGTAACTTGCATCAGGTTCCTTGACAGGAATATAGCATAAACTTGCTTTGTTCCGTCATTCTCTGGAGGTAGGTATGTCATCATTCGAGTTTCGAGGCTCGCTACTGGTTGAAGATGCTGGTTGTCAAGAGCCTCCTTTGGTACCTTTATTAAGTTGAAGGTCATGTGAAAAAAAACAAGTCTGAACATCATCGCTGCATTCGAAAAGATCAAAGCCCTTCGCCCCTCAGAGAATCCTCAATGTCCTGTCACCCTCAGCGGGGAAGCAAACTCCTGCACACCTAGGGTTTAGGGTTTGGGGGTTTAGGCTAATGGTGTGTGCAGATTTGGCACCCGGGGCCAACTTCCTGAAGGGTCTAACTTGCCTGTTTCTGACCAAGTCCAAGATACTGCACATCTTCCGGGTAGCCTGGCGTGAAGGCGGTATCCATGCAGCAGTCACTGGCGCAATCGACAGCCGTCGTATCGCCAGGGAGTCCCGAGTACCATCGGGACCTGAATTCAGGAGAACCTGGTCAAAGCACTCACGGAAACGTTCAACGTTCAGGGATGAATAAGACCAGTATGATCGGTGCTTTTGTCCTTGTCGTTTTATCATTTGTGGACAATTGTTACTTCTTTTTCTTACTATGACGATGATGATTATCACTATTATTTATTATTGTTATCAGGAGTAGTCCTCGTAGTCGCAGTCGTAGTGGTAGTGGTTTTGGTAGTGGTAGTGGTCGTGGTGGTGGTGGTGGTGGTGGTGGTGGCGGGGATGGAAGAGGTGGTGGTGATAATTGTAGTTGTCGTCGTAGTAGTAGTCGTCGTTGTAGCAGTAATAGTATTGCTTGTGAAATTCTTATTATTACTACAAAATCATAACGAGATGAGGCCCAAGCACGAACGCCCAAGCTTGACCCGGAAGTGTACTAGTTTCTCTGTCAGCGTGCATTGTTGATTTGAAGTGGTGTTCGGGTCTAGGGTTTGGAGTGAAAGGCTTCGGAACCTCGGAATGATATACACACCTGAAGCCCGAAAGTGGACGGAGCGTGTTCGGGAAAAAAGGCTGCCATGTAACCAATGTAGCACACATATGCACAACACTCAGTTCCTGTATGTAGGCATGCAATCATGCAAGCATACTTGTGTGTACATCTAAACTAAGTTCGGCTTGCAGAGTGGAGCCCTTGCTGTCTCCGACAACATCATACTCACAGTTGAATACCCACCAATGAAACCCGGTACCTTGAGTATTTCTGACACATGCATGCACGCAGGCATGCATACGTTCATACACAAGCACGAATGCAGTGATGTGTATATACGCATAGAGCCACATACAAAATGGACTTGTACATTAGAGCGCACAGAGAGATGTATCAATCGTCAAAGCATGGGGACGTCCTAACACTCTGTCTATCTACCTGCCCAATTAGCTAGCTACGTGATACATCGTAACAAGGCCTACGCAGAATAACGTCGTTATCAAGATCAGGTGAGATTCGGTTCCTCAACCGTGTGACACACACAAACAACACACCCTAAAGCGCGGGGCACTTCTGCAAGAACCTCCACCAATCATTCCCACAAGCGAGCACTACGAGCTTCCCAAACTTAGGCGAGTTGATGAGGTGCCAGGGAGTTTTATAAGTACCTTCAAGCATGTCCTCCATAAGGCATTACCTTCTGTACCTTTTTAAATTGGGATCATGAACCCCAGTTTAGAGGGGCCTCTTGCTAACGGACCCTGCTCCGTAGGGTCCACTTTGGCGTCCCTTAGTTTCTGACACTTCCCCCATATTCGGTTTCGGGGTTTGGGGTTTTGGATTTCGAGGTTCTTATGAACTCTTACTTCCCCAATAAGCCAGGGAAACGAAAGCTAATCTTTCAGATTACTACTCAGTTATAAGAACACAGAAAAGTTTAAATGTTGGGTATTGGGGAACCAAAGATCCCTCAAGAGCCCTTGTCAATCCCCTACCGGAATGAAGGCAGAATCTTATGCTAACTTATGTGGATGCAAGGGGGTAGTATCCTTGTTGTGGTTTGAAATGTTTTCGAGTCTGCTTACCGATTTGCCCAAAAAGCTGGAAACTGATGTTTAACCACCTCCCACCGCACCAAACACTGGGCAGGATCAGGATTGTGTAGGATTTCAGTAAGCCCCTGAATACTTAAAGCTCGAAACCCCAAACTAAACCCTAAACGAAACCCCTAGACCCCAAAACAAAATCCGAAACGGCCCTAAACCCTTAAACCACTAAACCCCTAAACCCCTAAACCCTAAACCCTAAACCCTAAACCCCTAAACCCCTAAACCCTAAACCCTAAACCCCTAAACCCCGAACCCCTACACCCGCAACTCAAAGAACCGCCCCCACCTGGCTGCCAGGGGCGCAGCGAGGAGCTCTGGCATGGCTGTGCTTGGGGCATCGGCCCTGGCAGGTAAGTATGACAAAAGTTTAGGGCTTGGGGGTTTAGGGTTTAGGGGTTTAGAGTTTAGGGGTCTAGCGGTTTAGGGTTTAGGGGTTTAGGGGTTTAGGGGTTTAGGGGTTTAGGGGTTTAGGGGTCTGGGGCTTTGGGGTTTAGGGTTTAGGGGTTAGGGGTTAGGGGTTTAGCGGTTTAGGGTTTAGGGATTTAGGGGTTTAGGGGTTTAGGGTTTAGGGGTTTAGCGGTTTAGGGTTTAAAGGGCTTAGGGGTTTAGCGGTTTAGGGTTCAGGGGTTTGGGGTTTAGGGTTTGTGTGTTTAGGGTGTAGGGGTTTAGGGCTAAGGGTTTTAGGGTTTATGTGTTTAGGGTTTAGGGGTTTAGGGGTTCAGGGTTTAGGGTTTATGTGTTTAGGGTTTAGGGGTTTAGGGGTTTAGGGTTTAGGGTTTAGGGTTTAGGGTTTAGGGGTTAGGGGTTTAGGGTTTACGTGTTCAGGGGTTTAGGGTTTAGGGGTTTAGGGCTTTGGGGTCCAGGGTTTGGGGATTTAGGGTTTAGGGGTTCAGGGTTTAGGGGTTTAGGGTTTAGGATTAAGGGGATTGGGGTTTAGGGGTTTAGGAGTTTGGGGGTTAGCCTAAGGGCCCAAGTACCTGATCATCATATACTCGCCAGACCAGCAACCGAAATCACTACTACCCCAAACACGAGTACCCGATTATTGGGTCCTTTGGACCATTAGGATTAGCTCTGTCATGGAGAAAAAAATGAGTAGGTTCAGAGATAACTGTAAGAACAACATGTTCCGACGGATATAGGTTGTGGTGGCCTGTGAGGTGCCACTGGCTTGGGTCCGAGACGAGACTTATGGCTGCGACCCTTCAGCTGTAATCTCGACATAGGTATCTAATGTTTCGGAGCTGGTATCTAAGCCCTATAAACCCTGAACAAAACCTTGTAATTAGAGACCTGAACAAAGCCCGAAAAGAGCCCTTGATGGAACTCCAAAAGCACCACCTGGCAGCAGAATTTGAACTGGATCCGTGGCGATGTGCTTTTCCCGGCACCGCTGCAGTTCGCGCTCCACTTCCTGCTCTTCTCTTCAGGATTTTGAGGCTACTTGGAGGTTCATGGGTAGTTATAAGTAGGGTTATAAGTAGGGTAATTATGATTATAACCCATATTAGGGGACTTATAGCTCCATTTATAACTACCCATGAACCTCCAAGTAACCCCCCAAATCCCAAGCAGAAAGCTGAGAGTTGACGTCTACGTTCGTTTGCATCTATGGGACCATAAGGCACTCTTACTATTCAATAACCCCCAGGTACCTACTATATAGGGTACTACTAGAGCCCCTAAGGCCCTACATGGTAGGTACTTGGAGGGTTAGGGATTGCCTTGCGAGTCCTGGATGTGGGATGTAGCCCTCCCCAACGAATCATGCGGAACGGTGCCCACAGCTTTCGCACTTCTGGGATTGGGTCGCTGGGTTTACCCATAGGCCCCATAGTAGTTCCTTTTTGGGATTACCTTATAGGATTCTACATATGAACCCCAGAAAGGAACTACTATGGGGCCTAATTATGGGTAGAGTTCACAGTTTCCGAGGGGTCTCAAATTGCGGCCGAAGTTCTGCGTGGCTGGGGAACCGAATGGCATGGATGAAGCACTCGATGCCTCAAGCGAGGCAGCCCTGCAACACCTAAACCGCATTGCAGCAAGACGAGCGCTGTACCGAAGAGGTATCGAGTTGTTCTTGACTTGAAATACTCAACATGAGTGAATGAATATAGCAATAGTCATAATCATGATAATATCAATAATCATAATAACAATATAAATCATGATATAGTCATAATCATGACAATATCAATAATACGATAATTAATAATATATAAGCATAATCATGATCCTAGCAATGATAATAACCATCCGGGCCCGAACTTCCCCCTGTGCTAACCCTAGGTGTTGCCTTGGGCAAGTCTTGGGCGCATGGCGAACTAGAGCCGACGAACGAAAGCCTTGGTGTTCAGGCCAAAAGTTCGAAGGAGAAATAGAGACTCAGTACCAAGAAAAAAGACGTTTAGGGTTTAGAGTTTCAGATGGACCCGTTACACCCTAAAGATGGCGAGTCTTTTGGAGACAAAGGCACGCAGAACCGCTTCCCACTCGTGGGCATAGGTCGTTGCAGCTTCCTCTGGGGCACGGTGCTTCGATGCCAGGGCAGCTCAGGTTCAGGATCCTCTAAGTTTGATGGTTTAGGGCTTAGGGGTTTAGGGTTTAGGGTTTAGGGTTTAGGGTTTAGGGTTTAGGTCGGGTTTCAAAATTCTCAGGGGCATGAGGCTTGGGGTTCAGCGTTTCGAGCTCAGACGTGCGAGTTTAGTGGCAAGAGTTCAAACTGTGCCGAAGCTCGCAGTCAGAACACCTATGCCGGGATACCTTTGGCCCCGGACAACAGGGAAAACAATTACATCGGGCACAACTGGCAACATGAAAGATGCAAGGCAAGCTTCGTTCAGGATTCTGAGGATGTGTGGCTACGACGGCAACTTCGTGAAAGAGCCAACTCAAATCGGAGAAACTGTCGAGAGACCATGTAATGTAGGAAAGCCCGGAAGCCCAAAGACACAGGCAACAAAGAGATCGCCTTCGCTGCCACCAGGGTGACATCAGCGAGAGAACTCTTGGACCGGAAGCACTCATCATATTGCTGGCCTGGATTTGATAGGCTTGCTAAGCTCCTTTCAATCAAGACCAACGGATTATACTTTCATAGGAGAAGACTCTACTAAATAGCGAAATCACATTGACAATCGGCCTAGTTTCGGGTTCCAGAGAGGGCAGCCACTCACTGAAGCATAGCACCGAATCAGCACCGGACCCACTACAGTGGCCCCACAAGATCTTCCCCCGTGCATCACGAAACAGTTCACGAGAGCAGTTCCGCTGATTTGTGCTCTGTGCTATGGCATGCTATGGCTTCCGAAAAGTCGATTGCGCTTCAGCTTTGTGCATCGTTGTTCGCATCAAATCCAAGTTCGTTTACCCCGAACCGCAAACGCAACCTTAAACCCTCTGGACAATAACACTACACCAGAAACTTTGTCTATAAACCCTCTTGGCCATGCGACCCCTAACCCCAAGAAACATCGCGACCACCAAAGACCCTATATAATGCCCACACACGCCCACAGCCTAGTACTCCCCAACCCTCCTCAACCCTGAATAAGATGAACAAACTTTACAAGCCCCCCCCCCCCCAAAAA